ACTCTGAGAATAAAATTGTTCTAAAATCATAACAAATATTAGTTTGAAGTTATATATATAAAAATATATGTACAATTGATATGGGACTAATACTATAAAAATAATCTGTTAAATATAAATAAAAATACTAACCAAAGGGATCATCTTAATACCAAAAATAAAAATTTATAACTTATATAAAGGATAACAATTTTTATTATTATAACTTTTGCAACTTATTTATAAAAATTTGAACTTGTATTAAGAGCAAATTTTTTTTTATCTTTGAGAATATATAAAATCTTAAAAAATCTTGAAAAAATTTTATAATAAAAATTTTTAAACAAAAACTTTAAAATTTTATTACTCAAAAATTTTATTAATAATTTTAAAAAAATTTTTATAATAAAATTATAAAATATATTTTTAAGAATATACTCTATAATAAATATATATCTCATATCATTAATAAATTATTATTTTATTTAAAAAATACTAAATATAATTTAATTTTCTAGGCAAATTTGCCTGGAATATGGTTTAAGAGATACTTTTTTTAGTTAAAATTCTTTTTCAGTGTTTATTTTTCACGTGTGCAGATCCAATCAAATTGCTTGATTTTTGAATCAAGTAATTTAATTGGATCCGCACAAGTGAAAAATAAACAGTGATTCTTTTTATTATAATTTATAGTTTAAAAATAAATCGAAAACAAAAATATACGGAGCTGACCGGACCACTTTCACATTAGTGTATTATGTGAAGGTCCATGTGATATTTAGGGAATTTGTTATAAATAGAATTATTAGCAAAGGAGCCGGTGTTATTTCAGCTTAAAGTGGATTAGAGCATTCTGTAATCGTCCCGAAATTAGCATTAGTACCGGTATTAGTAATAACAACATATCAGCATGATCTACACAGTTAGAAAAATTTATTTAACCCTACTTATCGTTATACGAGTTTTTCATTTTTTCTGAATCTGTCATGCTTGGTATATTGAAGGTAACAAATGTAATTTATTATCTAATTGTTAGTATTGAATTCAATGTTTAATAATTCTTTATCTAATCAACATTAATTGAAAATGGATGCCTTTCCACTATAACAAAACCATAATCGCATCCTTAAAAATATCATTTAATCCATTCACGGAAAATTATGTAAATAAGACTCCAAATCTGCTTGTATCAAGCAGTTTTAAAATATTTCAAACCCACAATATCAATCATCATAGTATTATTGTACCATGCTATACACAAGCTTGTCGTAAATTCTCTCAGGTAATGATTTTATCTGTTATGTTGGTATTTGTATACATGGGTGTCGAAATTACGGCTGATTTATGACAGACGGTATTTCAAATATTTTTAATATTTTTGACATTGCACTCCAAAATGTCATAAGTCAAAATTTTTTTGTCTGTTGAAAATATTATAATATTATAGACTGTCAAAAGTAAATATGACAAAGTGTCCTCTAAAATCATACCTCACGCGATTAAGACCCACCATCCCTACCGACTTGTTTCTTGTTTCTTGGATAAGACCCGGATACTACTATATTGATTTACTACTTTTAACGTTAATATGATATGTCTTCAAATATAGTAAATATAGTACCCGGTTCTTCATACAGTACCCACGGGTATTATTCAATTTTAAAAAATGGGATTTTTGAATAAGACCTTGAGTACTGTAAACGGTGACCAACAATATATTGGAAATCTTCCGAAAGAAAACAAAAGACAAGTAAAATAAATATCCGAGATATTCAGAAGGCAAATTAAGAAGTAGGATATAATATAGATATAATATACAATAACATACTAGTGTAATGGATTCGAAAAAATCTTTTGATTTGACCACTTTTACAAAGGAAACTAGGCATATTTTTTTTTTGACACACAAATATTTTTGACAGCCAAAATTATGTTTTGATATGTTAAATTATTTATGATTTTGACTGTCAAAAAATGAATTTTGTTATTTATGTTTATGACAAGAGCAAAATATGTTTGACACCCATGTATAGGTATTTAAAACCTTATATTAATTCAAAAAAATCTGGCTACAAAAAGTCGCTTATAGCAAATAGTAGGTTCTCAGAACTGGTCTCTAAAGTTCGAGAATCATATCTGATCCAAGAAATAACACCGAAAGAGTTACATGCTTCACTTAATAGCAACACTTCCACTATCACAAAACCAAATATAATATTGATTGATGTTCGTGAAAAAGATGAACAATTACGTGGTATCATACCAACCGCTATACCATTACCACGTGGAGTTCTTGAAAGAGATATTGAACGGAAAGTCGTTAGTATTGATGAAGTTAATTCAGAAACCAGTAGAAATGTTATTCTTTATTGTGCTGGTGGTTTAAGAAGGTTTGATTTATTTTTTTGAATTTAATTTGTCTAATTGCTATATATATATGTAAGTATTTATTTAACCATTCGATTAAATATAGTATCATGGCAGCAGAAAGTTTGATTAGATTGGGATACAAAAAAGAAAGTGTCAAGAGCCTGAAAGGTGGTTATGATGAGTGGAAAAAAAGTGGTTTTCAAGTTATGGATTATGATTCTTCGAAGAAAACGTGATTAACACGTTTTTAACCTTTTTACTATACGTTATTAAATTCAGTTTATGCAAGATGCAAGCTTTTATGATTAATATACGAGATTGATATATGTCCCGTAATAAAATTAATAAATATTTTTGCCAGTGTTGGTAAACTCACCTAGTATCGCCACCAAAATCATGTACGTAATTGCTTCTTGAATTTCAACCTGAGTATTAATATAAGAATAACAGAATTGGAATACAATATTTTCGGAGAAATAATCGGTTTTGTTTATTCAAATTGTTTATCCAAGAATTTACTTAATTTATCGTTACAAAGTCTGTCAAAATATATTCAAATTTGAATATTTAAAATAGGGAAATTCTATTTTCACCCGGGTTAAAATCACCAGAAATATTACTAATGCTAATAATTTTAGTTACGTAAATGACATTACGTATAGTTTATCAGGTGACTTTAACCAGGTTGCAAATAGAATTTTCTTATTTCCTTTAAAATATATTTGCATCCAAATTTTCAATACACATATAAAGCTTAAAGTCAGAGTTTGTGTTGCCAGCAGGTGATTGTTTTTATTATGTCCACTATAAGTTTTCGGGAGCTTTCTTGCTCGTTCGAAATTTTCAATTTCACCTATCATCTTTTTGAATAGGTGTAAAGTTCGATTCAATACTTTGAAGCATTTCTTTTTGTTTTAGAATATTATTAGATTTTTTAAAATAATCAAGTGCCCAAAAAATAGTACAGTCAAACCCCTCTATAGTCACCTCCTCTATAGTCACAAAATTGGTATAATTACAAATTTATTTTTACCA